AGCAATCAGAGTTATTTAGACAAGGGAAAATGAAAACTTAACTACCTGGTGATATTAGAAAAAGGTTCACTAAATCTGATGCTTTTAAGGCCTTCTGGGACAAACCAGACTTTCAGTGTAATAAAACGATGCAAAAGAGAGGGCCCGATGGGTTCTGCAGACAGTGAAGTAACTATTTCATCATGGCAATATATGGCTTTATTGATTTACTCTTTTCTTTTGCAGCATCTGTTTATCGCTGAGCCATAATCCTGCGCATCCCCCGTGGGGATTTATTCATGAGATACACTTTTTTTCTGCATGAAACTTTTAGCTATGCAAGCATGAGCTGTGACACTAAGTGCTTTTTAAAAATACATTTTCTGAAAACAAAGACTTTTTTTTTCTCTTCAAAGAGCGATCAAAGCATGCTTAATATGTCAGAATCAATCAGCACAAAATGATGAAACGAGCTGCAAACAAACAGAAAAGCACATATGAGAGCGACCACGTTTTGCTTATGGAGCACATTATGATGCCAAGTTCAGATCCTGTGTAGCTGAAGGAACCTGCAGTTTGATTGATTCGCCAAAGGTCCCCAATTATCAGGCTTGTGTGTTTCTGTAATCCAAGAGCTTCTATAGATGCAGCAGTCACCCTTTTCACTTTAACAACCATCCTGTCAGTTTAGAGTCTACAGAAAAAAAACATCAACATATGAAAATCTCAAGGACGATCAATAATCTAGTTGCCTTACCTTTCTCAGACACAACAGAAGAGGAGGCGAAATTGGTTGACCGCGGTGTATGATGAACCATTTTCCAGCCCGATTGGACTTCAGTGACCATCAGAAAAAGCTCTTACTCCGCATCAGGTAATGGTTAGCTGCCCTCCCCAGTAATATTAGATGTCATTCAGCGAGGCTGCCATGGGGACAGCAATTACCCTTGTGCTAATGTCTGCCTCCCCGCCCCCACCCCCCTCTGCCCACTGGCTCCATGATTTCTGCTACCCGCTCCGGCCAGCCACTCTGTTTACAGTGGAGACCTCATCACACACAGATCCTCTAGATTAGATCAGAACTCTGACCTGCATGTCTGAACGGGCTCAGCCTCCGGCTAATGGCCAAAGCTGGCTGCAGATCAGACAGAAGTACACACACACATAGACAAAAAGCAGCTACAGGTACACACCTTTAAAGATATAAACCTTGATGGTCACAGGAACATCTGTTTGAAGACACACAAAGACCCGGATCCACGAATACCGTCAGGCTTCATAACGATGAATTATTTCATATTCAGAAAAATCTGCTGACCATTTTCTTTTCCTGCTTACTGTCAGTGTCAAGTGTCTGATGAAAATCCCTCATTTCTGAGCAACATCGTAAAAGAAAGGTAACTCTTTATTTGATGCTTATCTCTATAACACATTATTAATATATGTATAATGCCTTATAATCATGTTATAGCACTGTATGACTATAGTTATAAACACTCGTAAATGATCATAATGCTTTATAGCAATAACCATAACACATAATAAAGCATTTTATCATGACTTACAAGGTCAAGTATTATAATGTGTTATGCTTATTGTTATAAAGCCTTGTGATAATTAATGTGTGTTTATAATGGTAGTTATACAAGTTTATAAACAAATTATAACACATCATAAATATATGTATAATGCATTATCTATGTGGGCATTGTCAGTTAATGAGTGTTTATAACTATAGTTACAAAGTATAGTGGTACAGTATACTGTGCTATAACGTGATTATGACGCAATATACATATATTTATAATGTGCTATAGAGAGTGTTACCAAAAGGATAAATGATAATAACTGGCTAATCATGAGACTGGACAAACAGACAATATTCTGTTTGGGCTGGTGGATTTTTGCTTTTTCATTCAAGCCATGAGTCAGTCTGTTTTATGTATTTACTGCAACCAAGTGCACATTGTAGGCGTCAGCACATCTGTGTGTTTTGCCAAGCACAGAGCTGAAGTATCATGGAGAAAGCTAATTGCAAAGGCTTTGCAGTTTGAAGGTATTTTTTATGCTTATTACACCTACAATTCAGGCAGCAACTTGCAATATGTGCAAAGATCGTGTTCTGAGCGAAGCATAGCAAAATATAATGGAGTTGAATTGAGCATTTTAAGAGTCATTTTACCAAAGAATTCAGTTTAACCAAATAAAAACAGAAACCAAAACAAAGCGGTACGTGTTGTTGACTGAAGAAGTTTCCAGTGATGCTTTAAAGTGTGTAGCATAACAGAGAAAGTTCTTGGATTTGCTCCTCCGGATAACAAACACCTGCAGCTTGTTGTAACTGTGGGATTCCACTGCCTGCTTGGACCCTTGGAACCCAGGCGCAGTTTACCACTGTGCAGTTATTCTTTCCAACTCCGCTGTGCCAAGAGTTTGAAAAATTGTGCAAGCACTTACCAACAGAGTAAAGAGATATAGCAGCAATGGCCTTTACCACAGAAATGTTGAACTCTGGTAACTGCATGTTGTCATTTACCAACACCATAACGTCAAACCTTCCACAGATAACACAAATTTAAGTTTTCTTTTCACATTTAATGCAGATTTTGTCATGCAGGAATTCACAATGAACCACTATTCCTGTTCATTTTTGACGATTTAATTTCCAAACTGCAGATACAAATTTATTTTCCTCAATCAAATAAACAATGACACAGTCAGTTTAAATCATAGACTGTATATACTGTGGACAACTTGGTTCTGCCTTCCGCCATGATACAGATTTGAAGCTGAAAAAGCTCTCGGTAATTCCACATTTTTTCTTCAATTCCTGAGCCATCATTACGCAGTAGCATTGTAAGCATTCGGCATGAGAGTCACAGAAAGTTGCTGTGATGACGCTCTCATCGCCTCTGAGTGAGCTATGCAATCTCTGTACGCCCATGGGCTGTATCAAGTGTCAATCATAGAAAACATGAACCCCCTAATAACTTTTAAAAATGGAGCTGCCCAGAAAAAAGAGGACTTGAGCACAAACCAGTCTTACAATAACTACATGTCAACATCACAAGCAGGGGGGAGAAAAAATTATATTGTGTGTAATAAATTTCTAAAGTTTGTCCACAGCTCCATAGGGATTTCTGGAGGAGGTGCGATTCATGACCTATACTGCAGCCCGTCACCAGAGGGTGCTGTTCTCAGGTGGCTTCACCCAGTGAGGAGGTAGACGGCGTCCATTTTATATACAATCTATGCTTTAAAATGAGAGTTTATTTATTAGTCACATTGGTTCACAGTGTCAGCAAAGCCAAAAAAAGCATGGATCAGTGCATCCTTGAAGTAAACAAGACAAAAGCTGAAGCCAAAACTTTTTCAGAAACAGTCCATTCCTGTTTCACCACCGTGTGCCTACATTATGTATAAAATCTTCCAGCTCTAGTAAGCCTGCGTGTTACATTTCTTAGTCACATTCAAAGGTTACCTATAAATGTTTATGCCTGCAAAATCAACACCAGCTGTTCAAGTCTCACTTGCTTATAGGAGGCTGAAAGATGTACTGTAATGTGCATGCATGACTTAAAAACAAAGTGTTGTTTGTACAGAGTTTACAGAGAGGCTAACACATCATCATAGTGCAACTAATTGATGTTCAGAATGTTCCATACAAACAAACGTATCGCACTGAGTAGGTGCTCCGCATCGCATATGCAGAGGACGCAGGGGAAATCAGCCTCTATAGCTTGTACTGATGAGACAGAAGCTTATGGGCTAAACACTTCCTTTCCAGCGAGCTCTCACGCACTATCTGTTGTAGCTACGGCATCCTGAGCACAAAGACGCAGCAGATGGGGGGGGGGGGGAGAGTATAATTGCACTGTTTCTTCTGAGACAATGGAATCAATTTTTATTCACACCATCAGAGCATGAAGTTCACATACCGGCACATGCATGTGTGTGACAGAGGATAACAACCCGGTTCTTTGACTTCTTGCTTCCCTTTTTCTGTGATTCACTCATGTAGCTGTCATTCAGGCTTTTTAAATCTCAGCTTGAGTCACAAGGGTCCCTGACAGAGTCAAGATTGAGACCCCAATTTCACCTGCAGTGAGAGCTGCCACCTTTGTTCAGAACTAGCAGTGCATCCATCTGCTTTCCACACACTAAAGGAGGCTCTGTATTTGCTGTCTTGGGCGTACATGAAAGGAAAAAAGAAAGAAAGTGGGCCTCAGATTGCTTTGTATAAGATGAATCCTAGTCAGCAAGGAGAGGGATTACCTCACAGCAGGGGGTCCAGGTCTCATTCATCTCCCTCAGGCCTTTCTGGAGCTACGAATATTGAGATGCAGTAACAGAATTACTTCATTATTGGATTCAAAAAGGGAGAAGGTGTTTAAATATTGGAAATTCACTCACTGAAATAACATAGAAGAATTTATTTCAATGACTTTGTTTAGCTACAGAGGTTCAGTGTTCATATGAGGGTGTTAGCAAAGGCATCAGATTTAATGTAAAGTGGGGAGCCAAACATGAAAAATTCATCCTGCTTTATATAAATCTGAAGATCTACATGTGTAGCGTAGATTAAAATGTGCATCTTTATAGATTTTAACAATTCATCAGCGTGATGTCAGGCAAATATGTAAATGCAATGCAGCTACAGCACATAGTGATCACGAGAGTCCTGTGTGAAACTTTTACGTGATGAAGTTGTCCAAACACACACACGTTTCTGCATCTATGTTTACCTTAAATGTAAATTGATACAGTTAAGAGTTACAGAAGTGCATTTGGAGCTCTGAACATAAAGCACTTACATACTGCCTCTTCAAGGTGCGATATTTAGGTCCCTGTTGTGTCTCATCTGCAATGTGTAACTCACTGGGCGCAGTGATGGACCAAAGAGGCTCTGTCTTTCATCCTCTATCTGAGGTAGTAACAGAGGCTGAACGGCGGGAAGAAAGTGGCGATGTGTAGCATCAGAGCTGGCAGCACAGAAAAGCGCAGTTACTCTTTGTTTGACGGGGTGTTGTCGTTGGGGGATATACTAAAGGATGGGATATTTCAAGGACAAGGACAGCAAACTTATTGTGTTTTGTTGTTTTTCTAGTCTACAAACTGTGTTTGTGTGTTTATTGGGTTTTGACATGTTTGGAGTCGTTTTTGGGTGTCCAGGTATTTTATATTTGTTCACCTTCTACAGAGACCATAGCTGCGTTTACATGGGTACAAATAATCGGAATAAAAATGCGTCATGTAAACATGTTGATCGTAAGATTCTGATCCAATCCGGCTCACTCAGAAAGAAATTGTATTCCGATCAAGAGGGGTGGATTATGCCGATCGTCATTCCAAAATGCATCCATGTAAACACTTACTACGATCATGACTCTCTTACCTGACTCGATCTTCACTCTTTAGCCTTTGGGTTATTTATTGAGGCCAGTAAAGGAGGTTTTGTTATTAACGCTCTGGCATAAAACACAACCTCAAGTGCCGTGTCTGCTCCTCCGATAACAAGGCGTACATTCAGTGTAATTATGTCACATCTGCACGCACAGTAAAACCTTTGACAGAACAGTAAAATAAGCACGCAAGGGAGCCATCTAGTGACAACATTTAACAGGGGAGAAAAATCCTGAATTGGATGGAGTGAGCCACTACCGGGTTTGTTGGTTTGTTGACGTACAGGCGTAAAAACAACTCATCTCTAGCGAAATCGGAACAAATCTGTGCATGTCCAAATGCTCCTACTCTAAATAAAGGTTGGTGCATGTCATGATAGGATTATTTGGTTTGGTTTGGTTGGATCAAGAAATTTTGCACATGTAAACATGGCCAATGCCATGTGATTGGAGTTCTTTCAGAGTTTTCAGAAAACTGAATCTGTACCAAATCATCAAATTAGCATCAGAGATGACTGGTGTGAATTTGTAATGTGTTAATTAATTAATCATAGAAAAATAACATGTAACACTAGATAAACACACTCTGACATGACATCCCTGATCAGCTGTCTACAGCAGAGGTGTAAACATGATCAAAAGTTCCGGCTTTAATTTTAATTAGCTTTATTCTATTTAATCCATGTGAGACAACAACATCATGATGATCTATTAATAAGTCTGCTCTCAGTCTTGGGCTTACTGTTGTGTCTGTACACACTGTTGATCTAGAGACACACATCCAAACTGTAAAACCATAGATTAGGGTGAGACCTTTTCTGTTTGTTATGCTAATGAAGACAGTCAACAGACGGTGAGACACAAACAAGAGGTAGGGCAGGGTACAAGTGTGCGTCTGTGTCTTTATGTGTGTGTGTGTTGAAGAGAGGCAAGGTGATCAGTGGTTGTGACTTTTGTTTACTCCCCTTTTTTTATCAGTGGAAGAAATTGTTTTTTTTTTATTTAGTGGGCAACTAAAAAAAGTGATATTATTCGAGGAGATCTAAGAGCAAACTCCAGAGTTTAGTGAGACTCTGTGAGGCAACAGGGTTAACCCCCCTTCTCTCTGCCAGAATAAACATGACAGCGTTAAATGAGGATATCGTGGTCATTGTGTCTTACTCCACATTTCCGATCTCCTTTCAGCCATTCTGTCTCATAAAGGAAAAAAATGCCCCAAACCATAACTTTCAAAAAACAACGTCAACAAAACAGCAGTAATGTTGTTCCAAAAACTTTGAATTTCAAGCGAGTATCAGAAGTCGTGGTCAAAGTTAAAGGCCACTGAAGTTGAAATTGCTTTTTATTCTGTATTAATTGTGAGCTGAAGCTATCTACCGGCTGAACAAAAAATCTTCTCTTCTAATTTCATGAATTGTTTTGGTCCGGCCCTGAAACTTGGCGCAGGCACTTCCACCCGACAGTGAGTGAGGAGTGAGCGGTGCAGTATAATGTCAAGATTCCAGAAAAAAAAATCAGAGAGAAAGAAAGACAAGTGAAGGCAAAGGTAAGTTGACAGTATGTGAACCAGTTCCTCTCTAAGAAAGGAGAATCTAGGCTGTGAATGTGACAAATGAAACCAAGTTCATGTGAGATAAAGTTCTTTTGCTCCCCTGACATTAGTTACCTCACATATTAGAGTGACCCTCTGAAAACTGATTTGACACTGAACTCAAGTCTTGAAGTTTTTTTGACACACCTGAGAATGTTTGAGTTGATGGACTTTTAAGGGGTGCAAAACATTGGATACTTTATCATACAATCACTAGGCTGTTTTAATCACTAAAAAACTTGACCTAAGGTTTTGTTTTTTTAAGCTCAAAATTAAAGATGATAGTGCAAATTTATTCAGTGAAGGTAACATATAATCCAGCTGTACTTACTTTAAAGCTCCTTTGGCTTGGTTTCTTTAGCGTCAAGGCTGACACCTACCCCCTCACAAGGGTTTTGACGATAAGAAATTATGATATAACAATCATCAGTCTCGTTGCCTGTGCTCTTGTTTGCCTTTGGATATCAATGTCATGTAAACTCTACCCCTCACAACCAGTTTTTCCCTCGGCTCCTCCTCTCCCCTCCCTCTCTGCTTCAGCAAGCCCCGCCCACAAACAGACACTTGTCTTCACTCGTATCGTTTCAATTAAATTCAGATATAATGCAGATAAATACTTCAGATATTTACAAATGGGGTTTACAACACGCAGCAGGTCCCGTTTGACAAGAAACACTTCTGTTACAGACACTTGACTTACTTTGTTAAAGCGGTTTATCTGTCCAGCAGAAAGATTACAGGGTCTGTAAGATCCTGAAGCGTCCCCCATCATTGTTGACCTAGCTTTTTTAGCTCTTGTCCGGTCTACCTCCTTTTTAAGCGCGCATTATTCCGCCAGAGTCTCCAGTATTTACTTTGTTTTCTTGCTTGTGTCAGCAGTCGTGGCCAAAGGAGGATTCATACAATTTTCCGTACTTTCCGGTTGGTTTCTACAGTCCGATATTGTAGCACGCTAACTTTGTTTGGGCTCGTGAACGACACGGGGGAGCAGCATCTGCCTCACAACCAATCAGGATGGTAGAGGCGGAGAATACGGCTTTGTTTACAGTCAGAAAGAGCGGGCCGCTCCGAAAATTTTAAAATGTCGACTACACAGCGATAACAAAACACAGCGATATCGTTATATTACTAAATGTCATCAATAACTAATAGCTATTGACTGATATTAAAAGCTTTTTGTATAAACACCACAAAAAAGATGCTTCTTTAACGGATTCCTGCCTACCCCACCTTTAATCAACATAACTCTTTCATGAAGTGATTTTTATTGTCTCTCATCTTTGTCACCCTAAAAACTCTTTTCTGATATCGTAAGAAAACCCTCTGTCTAGTCTTACTTTCTCCTGTATTTTCGACACCTCGGAGCACTTCATCAAGTTGTTGTTATGTAAGTGATTGAGGAGGTGAGGAAAGGCTCTATAGCGTGTTTTACTTTTCTGCGGCTTTCATTTATATTTCAGTGGTAATTACGCTAATGTTCTCACACAAACCCAGTAAAAAGATGAGAGTGCCCTTCACATACCTGCCTATACCCTCAAGTCTGCTTGTGATTTCATCCCCACTTATCAGTCATCGCCCACTTTCGAATTACTGAACTGTCTGAGAGAGTGTTTTCTCCACTTCTCCGTACAGCTGTGCGTCGGCTAAATGATAGCTTTGTTCGCTTCATTTCCCCTGTTGCGTATATCTTTGAGCTGGGAACCACAGGTGCCCTTTCAAGTAATCCATTTCCTCGTCCCATATTTGCATACATGCATAATTCATGGCAAAATGGCATCCCAAAGAGAGGGTCCAATGAGAGAGCACTATTTTTAGTATGCACCTGGCATCAGTGCCGCCCATCCTGATACCTCAGGTTCAATTACAAAGGTTTGGTGCTGTAGCAGCGTTGAAGGGCTGAGGTGTGTGGGCTGAGGGAGGATGTGTAAAAATATCTAGCAGACTGTTCCCCAGAGTTGAAAGAGTTTCTCCTGAATGCAATCAGGCAAATGAAAATATTAACAGGGCCTCTGAACAAAACATCAATCAGTAAAGGCAGCAGTGTGAGAAAAGAGGGTGCCGGCATATCAGGAGGGGAAACGCAGAAAAGCACATTTTTAACTTCCCAGCACAACAAAGAAGAATAAACAAAAGAAAATACAGATGAAAAGATTTTCTTCTATTTTTCATTTTGACAAGTCTTATCTCTCAGAAGTTTGTCCGTCTGTGTGTGTGTGTGTGTGTGTGTGTGTGTGTGTGTGTGTGTGTGTGTGTGTGTGTGTGTGTGTGTGTGTGTGTGTGTGTGTGTGTGTGTGTGTGTGTGCCTGTTCTCCCTAACACACTTCTCCTCTGCTCAAATCAATTACATTCAGTTCAGGAGACTCTGCAGGCATGACAGGATTAAATTGTCAAACTCAACAACAACGGTACACATATAAAAATCTTAAAGCCGATTTCCGCTGTGTGCGGTTTATAGACGGTGTTATATGTAGATATGATAAAGTCTATTCAAAGATAAGTCAGCCTTACAAAGCACTGAGTTTCATCTCACTTGTTTTCCCTTCTCTGTCTCCCTCTGTTTTTGTTTGCCTCTGTTATTGCCCTGACACTTCTATACACTCACTCTCACTCAGTGGATAAAATTCAAATGAATTCAGAAATATCCTAACCTTACTGCAGCACACACCGGACATTTCCCCGGGATGCAGTGTGGACCTAATTCGCCCCCTACTTTCAGTTTTGAGGACATGAGTCGTGTGTGAATAAAGTGGGATGGCTTCCTTTTGAATGTCATTATCTGAGCTGAGTCTGTCTACCTGCTCCACAGGCCACAGATTTCTCTCCAGTTTCAGAGCTGGGCTGATAAAACTTGTAGATAAAGTTACTTCTAATCAAATCTAGATTGAACACATTTCACATTATTTCATTCCGTCATGCTGTATTTCCAAGCACTCCCGAATTACTCGGTGCATAAATGTATATTGTCGGCGCCTGTGTACCTGACGACGGTAAGTCTGTTACAGCACGAGGACAGACTCAGATTGCTATCTCCATGATGGATTGCCAAGTGCAGCTACTTTAAAATACTATTAGGACATAGTCCCCAGCTTGCTGAAGGGTGTTCACTAATGTATTACTCCTCCTGGGACTGAGTTTCTGTCTGCTCTAGTTTTAAAAGTTTGCTACAAAAGCAGCAACAAAACACGACAGAGCTAAGAAAGCTTGTGCTCCCCAGTACAAAACCCATCTGGTCACACTTCCGTTGCTGCATCTTTAGTTGCCTTGTTGTGGCAGAACAGTTTGGTTATGCAATTAAAGCATGTAAATTGATAGCACAGCAAAACAACAGTCCCAGTTTAATTCCTGCTTAATGACATTGCTGCTAAGCCGACCCCTTCCTCTAGAGGTGTACTACAGGAAAAACCTCATTAACTTTTTTTGTGTCCCTCATTATTATTATTTTTTTCTGCCCTGAGAACAGCCGAGACTTATCTGCTGAGTGATTAGAAGCGCAATGAGAACAATTTTTTTGTAATCAGACCAACCTAAGCAACGCGGCCCGCACAAAGCCCAGAAGGGACGTCCCCCTGAGAGATGCAAATGATCCTGTTTTTCTGAGCATAAGTGGTGAAAGAATGAGAGGAGACGGGCCTATAAATGGTGGTCACATTTCACGTTGGAGTAACGACTGCCCTAAATACACACACAGAGCTTATTCTCTACAGGCTGCTCTGTGTGTGTAGGTGTGCGTTTGTGAGTGTGTGCACGCTCTGTTTTTGTTTCGCCCTTCCCCGGGTCAATAACTCAGCCATGACATAAATGATTTATGCCGGGCATCATCTGAAAATGTTGGTTTCAGCATGGTCCAAGTATTGATCAGTGTGTATTGACTGAAGGCCGCGGTGTCAGACTCAATTGGGGAAACATGAGGGTGTTGTATTAATACAGTGTTGTTGTTTTTTGCTCATTAGGCTCAGCGCCTCTGCTTCTGACTCTATTGTTGTTTGACAGGAGCGTTCAAGTGCTTCGACTGCACTCTGTGATTTATCTGGAAATTCATTTCCAATCAGCAGTGACGCACCATGGAGAACATTCTCAATAAAGTTGCTTTTGTGACTTTAAATCAATGTTAATTTTTGCAATTCAGTTGTTGTCTTGGGCCTCTTACACACTGCATCTCTGCAGGAGTGCAGGAACAGAGTTGTGCCATCATTAAGCCTTTAACTTACACATTGCACCCTGATATATTAGTGTCCCAGAGTGTGGTTGAACGTTGTATTGTAGCACTGGGAAGGGCAAGAGGCACAGCTTGTTTACACACAGTGGGAGCACCACATACACACCGATCTGCCTCGACACGACACGCCCACTCTGTCACCCCCTTATTCTGCTTCTGTAACTACAGGGGGGTGGCAGTGTGCTACTGCCTCTGAATTTACGATTGTCCGTTTTATTCTCATTTTTGTTAGCTCTTTTTAGTTTAATCTACAAAAATTCAAATTGATTGTCAGTTTCGCGCATGAACATGCTGAAATGAACATATTTATTGAATTTAGCAGCTTGACTTTGGGGACGTGGATGGGGAGGGTCCGAGAGACCTCCAGAGCTTCATAGTCACTAAACATAGTGTTGCAACAGCTGAAGTTGGATTCATGACTCCCAGTGCTGAAAAAGCCAGTGTTTCTGACCATTTGAAGTAGTATTATTACAGATTAAAAAGACAAAAAAAAAACCAAAAACAAAAATAGGATGGATACCAGCAGGATAAAGTTTGAGAGAGGTGCAAATATTTTAGAATGGAGAAGAATTCATTCCTGTGTATCTGGGTTGGAGGAAGGCGCACACTTTAGGCAAGTAATCTTCCGAAGTTGTATGTGTACCTCTAAGTTTGCAAAGCTGCAGATTTTTTCTTTTGCTTCATTATAGAAAAAAATTATTTGGATTTTCTGGGTATTTAAACTAAACATCAGTTTAGCTGAGGTAGCCTCTTATGGTAATAATTCATTTATTCTCCATTTTCCAAATGAATGAACCTTCACCAGTACGTTGTTGACACCAGAGAATTTCTGGATGATTGGTTTAGGTTTAGATTTTGCAGACCTCACAAATAAGCGAGTAAAGTAGGTAGCGTGTTGTCAATTTGTATGATTTCCTCGTATGATCTTCTTAGTTTGCGGGGCCTCATTTCCATCTTTTCATCGCCACACTAGAACTTGCCTCTACATTGACTTTCTGTGTAATTCAGAGCTTTGTCATTGGGTTTATCGTAACCAGTCCTCTATGAAGTTGTTTTTGGTGTTTCATTTAATCTGACGTTTTCTTGTTCAAAAACCTTTCTTTCATGTCTGTGTTCTTTGTGATATTTTTAACCTGTTTTTTTTGTTTGTTTGTTTGTTTATCCCCCACGTACAAATACGTGTTGAAGCTCCCTTTTTTCTGGGGTTTTTCTTTTATATGTGTGACCAGATTCTCTTCTGCACCAAGCATTGGTATTTTTTTGTCCAAGGCTTACTAGCTTAAGCCATATTTAGGAGGAAAACGACTGTAAGCCAGTATTACTCTACCTAAATGTCACATAACAGGCATCAGGAATAAGTACTTTTGTCAGAATGAGCTGGCAAATACTGAAAATCTTGAGTCCACAGGGACCGCAGCGAGTACCCACATTGAGTAATTGACTGAATATTGTTTTTATCCCACCACTGCTGCATGTACAGCCATCACTGTCTAGCTTCGGGGCTCACTGTGTGTCAGCTGACAGACACAACTGCTGCTGGGAAAAATACCATCCCTCCCTCTTTCCCTCTCTCTATCCATGCATCCATCCATCTTTGCTTTAAAAGCTGCCAAAATATCTATCTGCTGTATTCTTATGAAGCAAACATACACCTTTCCCAAACTGGATGATCATGATCTCCTGACCCCTAAACCAATAACTGACTTTATCGTTTTTTTAGTCTTCCAGTCGTGTTTTTGTGTTTGTGTGTTGGCCCTTGTGAGTGTGTGCTCTCGTGAATGTAAGTGAAACTTTAAAGTACCCTGATCCTGGTTTCCATTGACTGGGCTGTTCTAAGAAGACGTGCTTATCGCCAGCCCTCAGGGCACCTGTGTTAATCCCCAGGAAAAGATGACATCAAATGGAAGCAGAGCAAGGGATTATGGGGGATGTTGTGGAGCGTGATCAACTGCCACTGAGCACTAGTGCACGGGAAGGATTCCTCCTCAGGTGAGAGCGAACAAACCCTAAAATGCTTTGGAGTGAAAAGATGAAGAAGAAAAAAGCAACCAGCACATGAATTAACCATAAGAAGACATGGGAAAGCTTCAGTGCTGCCGAACCAACCAGGCTGTTGCATTAATCAAACCAACATGAGTAAGTTAAGGATGGAGGGGAATTTTCCCCCTGCAGCCAGTCCCTCCAGTCTGCTTAATTCAGACACTTCTAACTCCACTTCCTCTTTTAAGTCTCAGAACGTGGCAGATCATCCACTTAAATGCAGTCCCTGTGAAACTAAGTTTTCATATTTCACATCGAACCGCGGTTTCTTTTGTCTGTTTACGGAGATAAAGCTGTATTAGATCAGCTCAAACCTGACTTTCAGAGTCCACTGGACAACTTTCATTTCAGACCTTCTGGCTGACTGAAGCGGACTCAGAATAATTCTTCTGTTTGGACCATATTTGATTTCTGTTGGATATCCACTTATGCCACAACCCATCCTGCCTTTTCACAGGTGTTTCTCAATTGGAGCTGTCTTGTGCACATTGCAGTGTTCCAGCACTTTTCCAACTTAAATGTTTTCCTCAGTTTGAGGAAGATGGAACAAGTTTGCAGAGCTGCAGCTATTAGTTTGCCAAAAAAAAACAGTTACAAAGAAGATTGGTTTCCTGGAGTTTGCATGCACTAAAAAATTGAACTTCTTGCAAAAGAATTTAGAAGTTGTGTTGCAGCAGTTCCTCTTTTTACAACACTCTTTAAATGAGCTTTATTTGTTGACCTTTCTGGATCCCGTGTATCTATAGTGTTCCCTTTGCATGGTACAATTATAGTCTACGTTTGTTGATGCAGTAACAGCCTGGTTGATATTGAGCCAATGCAGTGATTTCCACGACAGAGTCACGGTTGTTTGTTTGCTGAAAGGACAAGGATCACATCCTGTATTAGTTTTTCAGAGAGTTCTTGACAGTCTGAGAATCTTTACACAACATTATGTTCTAAAAAAATGACATCTCTGTAAGGCTGTGTGTTAAATCAATTAATTGGCATTTGTGGTTTAATAAGATTTACAAAACTAAAATCAAGATTTGCCGCACCCCGTGGGCACCCATCATTCACTACCCATACCCCATTTAGTATCTCACGGCTTTTTCAGTGTTTTTTTGTCCCTTTCTCAACTTTTGTGAAATATTTTGGCATCCAATTTGTATTTAAAAGAAAAACTTTTTATAAAAAAGCATTAAAACTAATCCAATACAGGGTTTAAATGATTTCCCAAACCATCCAAATCTATTTTGATCAGCATTTTACACAGTTTTCCAACTTTTGGGGGATTAAAATTTTCTCACAGCCTTTATTACTTTCAGATTTAAGTAAGACACATTTCCTTGAATACAGTAAATATCTGTTTTTCAGCTGGTAGTGCCTCAAAAAAAAGTCTATATCATTTATCTCTAATTTCCAGGTAATGTACCAAGTTTGCAACATTCCTCAGCTTTGTAAAATAAAAAACTTTGAAAGACAATGGTACTAGATCAGAGGTACAGTGTTCTCACACTCGACTGAACTAATATTTTTTTGTGTGTTTTTACCTGGAAATTGGTTGTCACCTTTTTTTCGTCATTCATAAACTTTCGTAATCCCCGAGGAGAAATTCAATTTTTCACTCTGTTACTCACACGTAGACCAGAATACGCTCAGACTTGCCCAAACAGGATTCTATGAACATGCACTAATAGAGAGATGTCAGGGTGAAGTCATCAAATGTGGATTAGCACTCCGAGAAAGTAGAAGGTTCAGTGCCTTGCTTGAGGGCACATCAGCTGTGCCCAGTCAGGGAAATGGCGATTCTCATGCTACAAATCCTGGTCAGTGATGGCACTTAAACAAATGACCCTCCAAGTTCTTAAAATTATGGGAACTAAGTGTCAAAATTATGTTCAAATGCTAAGAACGTTACAGAAATACTAAGAGAGGTAGTACTTAAAAGGTGATAATAGTAATTTGGGCTGCCTCATTACTGTGTCAAGAGTGTATCTGCAGACTAAAACCTGCACACTGTTGATAATCCTCCGTTCAGGTTGATCTAATAGGAAGAAACACTTTTGTTGTTAAATATTCGTCTCGTTCTTTTCTCTAATTACACATTAATGGGCCCACGCTGAGTTCATTTGTCGCAGTGTGAGTAAGCAGTAAATAATGGCTCTTTAGGGGTAGTTTGCAGGAGACTCGCCTCATGAAGAAAGGGCCTCGCCTATTGATCTCACCTTGAGTTATTCACTCGCGGTCAGAGAGAAAACTGGTGCATGTCAGCTCGCTGTTGGACTTTCCGCTGAAGGTCTTTATTCCTGTGCTTGCAGTAATCAGGCTAATTCGGGTGCATAGCAGCTCTTGGACTTCTATCAGACAGGAGGGAGGAGGAAACACAGAGGCAAGTTATACCAGGTCATGTATTTTTAAACCCAGACAATAAGCCAGGTTCAGATTGAGTTTGCAAATAATTATTTCTGTTTCGTTACAAGCAGCCCTTGGATGTTTTTTTTTTTCCTGTTACATATTTGATAGCGTTTGCAGTGTTCTTTTTCTAAGCGGTGTTGCAATCAGCCACGGTTCTGTTTCCATTTTCTCTCATCTTGTCTCTTCTAATGTACATCCACACCTGAAACCGTCTGTCTCTTTAACTCACTGACATCTTAAGATGAATTATCCAAGAAAAGGCTTTTGATTTCCATTTTACAACAACACATGCAGGCAGCTTTTGATCCAATGCTCCTGTCGTCAATACTTTGTCAGTGCCTCCCAAAACCGTTACAAATCACTGTTGTCAAATCAAGGATGGAAAAGTTTGATAGATAGAGTCACCTAATGAGGAGAAGTATAAGTCTCATTATCATGACAGTAATTTTTAGTTAGGGTTGAAAAGATTCAGAGTCCTGCCAGAATGAAAACAAAGATGATTTGTGTCTGCAGCAAACAGAAGCAAAATGCCAGATGACATTTGGGCTTTTGCTGAAACATCTGAGGCCATTGTTGTTTTTCTTGGGAGGACAGTCTCTTTTCAACTTGACTCATGTACTCTACACGCTTCACTAACTGATTTCCCAGAATGCCTTTTGACTTCTCCCTGAGAAGCAGAGAGGAGTTGTTGAATATACTTTTGTACAACATGTAAGAATATAAACCCAAGAAATCAAAGTCAAAGCACTGAGTTTTGTGGCATTTAATACATAATCCAAGACTGGAGTGTCGGGAAAGAAAAACAGACATGACTCATTGCTCATCCAAAAAAAAAAAAACAGTTTGACTTAAAAATGAGTAACTGTCTCCATAAACTAAAGCGCTCCAACTGTATTTAAGCTTTTGGGTGGATGTTTTCTTTGTGTTGATTTTGGCTCCCCCTGTGGACAAAGTGAGACCTCATCTCCCGTCCTGCACAAAAACAGTTTTTGACCTAAAATTTCAACCTGTTCTCTTTTAAGATTAAACTGAATCACTGAATGTGAGTCAACGTTAATTTCATCAAGAATTTTTAATTTAGTCATTTGCAGAAAAAATGTTGATTATAGTCATTTTTTGGTCTTTTTGTTTCTTGTTGTTTTAGTGAAGATTTAGTCAGAAAAACTAAGTTTTTATGCTAATCTAAATTCAGTCAAGGCATCCTGGGGCGGCAGTAGCTCAGGAGGTAGAGCGGTTGTCCAATATCCGGAAGGTTGGCAGTTCGATTCCCCCCTATCCAGAGTCTGTCCGTTGTGTCTTTGGGCAAGACACTCCACCCACCTTGCTCCCAGTGTTTGTCCTCCACTAGTGTATGATTGTGAGTGCTGTGTGGTGGTGGTCGGAGAGATCGTAGACGCAAACTGGCAGCTGTAGGTACTAAGTTAGTTTACCACCACCAGGGTGTGACTGTGTGAGCAAATGAATGATGTATCCGATGTAAAGCGCTTTGAAGGTCTCTGATAAAGCGCTATATGAAATGTGATGCATTTTTATTATTCTCAGACAGTTTTATAATAGTCGGGTATTAGAAGGAGGTTGGCGCTTACTGTTGGGTAGCTAGCTTTGCTCTGTTAAGGTCAATGATAGGACTGCTGATAATTTAGCTTCCTACTAGAGACTGCAAACAGACTTTATTTATAGTCTGCTTTCATAATTCCTTATCGTCATCACTGGTAATTTCTGTCAGTTTCCTCACAAGCTAAAAACTCCTCACTGGAGCTTTAAAAAAACCATAGGAGCACACTCCTTCCTCCTCCTCCTCTCCCTGAACAATCTAATGACAGAAACAGACATGATTACTCGGAGTGTCAAGGGTTCTTATTGAAGTTATGAACTCTTGAAATGTATAGTGCCTTATAAGTCACTCCATATGGGCGCCAGTACGACCCAGTAATTAGGAGGATGATCTTTCAGCTAAGGGGATCAGGGCCAGGCCCCTCTGACAAGGACAGGTTTAAGAGTCCTTTGGTGAATAGTGTCAGGTGCTGCTCTGACACTGCAGCCTGACCTGTGAGTGAGAAGTCTTTCTGCTTTGAGGATTAATGAATTATTACAGCAGAAATCACTTACATTCAATTAATTCACAAGGAGAGAAAAATGCCATCTTCAGTGATACTTTAACAATGAGAACTATCAGATTGACAACAGTTTAGATAAACGTTAAAATACTGTAATTATGTGAGGATTATATAATTTTGTTTTAGCCTATGAGTGTGTGATAAAAAACACTCCAGGAAATATTACAGGTGAATGAATATTTATAATTAATCGATATATAACAACAAAAGTATTCTTATCAGGCACATATATTGTTCACAGAGGCAGTAAGGACAAGGAGGCAGGCAGGTAGGAGACTGTTGTTTGATTTTTAATGGGGAAGGATTTTACTTTTCATACAAAAAGATACTTATACCAAAATTTGTGGCACAAA